CGTTTTTGATACACCTCTGCTCAAACCCCGACTTCAATTTTCAGTTCAACCGCAATGGCTGTAAAAGTGTTGGCGTGGCTTTTTTGTAGAGAGATTCGCCAATTTAAAATTTTCTAGTAAACATGGATTTAGTGGTACTCCATTTTGTAGTAAGTTCATGTCTGCGTGCATCTGAAGGCTTTCATTTAGATATTGAGTTATAAAAAAAAACCAAGCTCTTATATCGGGCTTATTTTTGCGCTAGGTGATAGAGAGACATATTTTCATTTCTAGAGAGCATTGGCGTGCAAAAAATAGAACACAAAAATTGAGATTTATTAATGCAGCAATTTTTTTTTCGAGGCTAATTTTAATTCAAATGAACTTAAATTTTAAAATGGATAAGAAGGGTATATATAGCCAAAAAAGAAAAAATTTAAAAGTTTTTGATGTCTTTTAGCCTAATTTAGTCTAATAATATTAAAGTAATTTTATGAAGTGAGTAGATTTACAATGCTAAGCGGATCCTCTGGTTATCATAATTAGGGGGAAGCAGATTAGATTAGATTATATTTGAAAGGAGTAGGTCTTTCGTGAACTTGGCCGACGATGGTTCCATGACACTGTTTGGCCTATCTCAATCTTATAAAGTTGTTCCACCATTCCTATGATTCTTTTGCATCCATTGTTTGACGGATGCCTTGCACAATGCTTTGACAACTCCACAGAAGGGTTCGGGGCCTGTCATGGTCTTCTCTGAGCCTTCTCAGGCTAATTAGTCGGTCTTTTCATTGCCATGATATCCCTCGTAGCCTGTCGCCCTGCTTACCTTATTTTCACTAGTTAGCTCTGCCAGGTCTTCTAGGCAGTGGCCAATAGTTTTGCCTGATGCTTACTGATTTATTTTCTCTCTCGCACAGTGTTGTATGGCTATTAGTTCAGCCTGTATGGGAGGTTCCTGTTTCCAGAATTCTCGGGCTGGTATTTGAATTTAAAAGTTTCTTTCAAATTTGTATATGTTAATGGCTATATCAGTAAGCATTTATAGAAGTTTATCCTATTTTACTTGCTGGTATAGTCTCGTATGGTCGGCGTTTCGGGCCTGCATTAGTATGTGAATAACGAACCTGGTTTCTCCTTGTATGAAGATGTGCAGTGGCGCGAGGGTTAATATGCATGGTCCCAGTGGCGAGCCGCTGAATGCCGATGAGTTGGTCTATTCTGCCATCCTATGAAAGACCTCCGTAACTCCAGAAAACATGATTTCGTGAAAAACGCGGTTTAACATAATTTTGTTTGGCCGCAAAGCTACATACGGGAAAATAATTTTCTATGATAAATTTAGGAAAAATAAGCAAATACGGTTTTTTTCTTAGTAAAATGGTAGTTTATACTACCAGAAACATATATACTATATACTGCCGTCCCAGCAAGAAAGGTCGTATCTGAACATTTGTTATTTGGAAATAATCGAGTTTTTAGATATTTTTCGCAGACATTTATTTGTTATCTTCCAAACCTCTTCTGTGAAACTCTTTAACGTTTTAGTACCTTTACGACTCAAATATTATATTCCGTTTTCGTATCAAGAAAGACAAAATGTAGACAAATGCAAAGAGATTGAAAAAACTGCTAATTTTGCAGATAGGACCTTTCTTGTTAGGACGGCAGTATATGGAAATACTTATTTTTCTTCAATTTTTGGAGATATGTGGGTTGACATAGAACTGCAATATTGTACTTGCCTGCGCAGTTTTTGGTTATTTACGCCACTGCGCCATAAGTTATCATGGGTTTTTTTGCTCTTGTGTAAACCTTATAGTCTATTAAGGGCTTAGCCCCCAGTTTTTCCTACATATTCTTCTACAGCTTACGAGAGCTATTGAAGCTTTGTATGCGACTTTTTTGAGATGTTGATTCCACGTCAACCTTTGGTCAAATATGATTCCGAGATATTTAGCTTCTGTGACAAATGAAATAATGATGTTATTTAGTACTAGTGGTCTTAGTCCTTTAAGTACCCGTTTTGTGAATGCTACTACTGTTGTTTTTTGTGCATTAGTGGACAATTGCTCCTTTTTGTACTAGTTTTTCACTATGTTTAGAGCTGTTTGAGATCACTCCGAGACTGGGCCTTCAAATCGCCCCTGATGATAATTGATATGTCGTATGCATATCCTAGGAACTGGTAGCCTTCTTTGAAAAATGTTTTAAGTAGGTTGTCCACTAGAACTGACCACATCATTGGATATATAATTTTTCCGTGTAGGAGCCTCGTGTAACTTTTCCTTGTATGGTTGCCTTTCCTAGAGTGGATAAAATGATCCTATTCTCTAGGCTGGCAGTGATCCATTGGCATATTGTGACTGGGAAGTATGAATTAGTGATCTCCAACATCCTTCAACAAGTTCTAAAGACGATTAAAAGATGGTGCGAGAGGAATTAAGATATCTGTTATATCCCCCGGAAAAGGGTTATTGTTCCATTCACCAAGAAAAAGAAGAAAACTCGACAAGTTCAGATAACCTATCTTGGTCCATAGAATCATTCCTCTTGCGGAGGAGGTGCCAGGATAGTCTCTTACAGACTTCTGATGTTATATTATGTAAATTAACTTATTGGAATATGAAAGAATTACAGAATTATCAACGATATACTTTTAATTTAATTATTAAATGGTATGTTTCCCCAATTCTCTTGCAATATTGACGAACCTGTTTCATTCATTAAGTTGGTATACCTGTTTTTTTTTTTAACTAAATTTGTATGCCAGTTTACTGACTTAAATTGCAAAGTGTAACACCCACAGATTGCAATTTATCTTGCGCTCAATAGGAATTTTCCCAATTTTACTTGCAGCATGTAAAATGTCGAATTGTAAAGGGGCTCTTGACAGTAAACAGTTTAATTATGTAAAGACTCTTCCCATAATGACCGTAAACATGTTTATGCGAGCAACTAATGCTTTTTAATTACGTAACAAGAAACTAGAAATTGACTTCCGAAAACCGAACTCATTCATCAATCATTTACGAACCCCTCTGATCACCCACTTATTCGATCAGCTAAAAGTGCAAGGAAAATTTATTTTTCTCCGCCTTTCCCAAGGCAATTTACCGCCCGGGAGATAATAATTTTCGCAAGAAAGATTTACTACCATGGTCTCTCGTGTCGACGTTCGTTGGAAAATTGAATTAGTTTTGTGGTGTGAAAGTTTCAATGAGACTCCTCTCCAGCCATCGCGGTGGAACTTTCTGAGCGCCATCGCCGTTGCCAATTAAATGTGCCGGACTTTATAGTTGTTGGAGAGAAAAGTAATTAGGCGAGAGACAGAAATTTTTTCGTAGCAAAGTAAAACAATTTAGTTCCGTTCCGCTATTATTGTCGTTAAATTTTCGTTTACTCTTCAGTGACATTTCAATTATATTTTTAATTGAAACTGCATTTGAGTTTAAAAGATTTTTCACTGAAATGAAAAATTATATTAAAAAGACGTGACTATTAATCCAGTCAAATTGTGTTTTTAATAGGAAATATAGTGAAACGGCGACATTAATCAAACAAATACACAAACCAGGCGTTAGCTTCACAAGGTACATAATTTTGGGTCTCCTGTAAAATGTTTCGGAGTTGGCTGTCTTGGAAATTACATTTTTTCAATGATCAAAAATCAAGCACACTGGTTTAAACTGCTTTCGCCGCTTCCGCGCCAAGGTCAAAGATATTATTAGGAGACAATTGGGGGTTATTTAATTTTATAAAATTTGTCTTTCGGTTATTTTTCTCTCTCTTAAATGTTCGCTGTCTACGTAAGGGTTTCTTCCTGTTTACAGGGTAGATCGTGGACTATATTTTTTGATGAAATCTTGTAGAATCTTGGTGATAAATTTTTGGACAAATTATCTTGGAAAATAGAAATTAATGTGGTTGCTTCTGTCAATTGGTTTATTTAACTTTATAAACTTTGAATTGTACCTATAACCACGTAACTTTTGAATAATACTTTTATATCTAATTCAGTTTTTAAAACATGTTAGTTTAAAACATTTTTTTTATAATGTTTTAATATTAAAAAATGCGATTTGTTCACGCGGAGATTAAATAAGTTGTTGCTTGTTTGAAGGCTCGAATAGTTCTCTGCGTGTGAAGAAGTGTATCGTCTCGTTATGTTAAAGTGTGAACGTGACAATGTTGTGATTGGTTTAGAGAAAAAATCTTATGATTGGTTTAGAAAAAGTGGCGATCACACGGTTGGCATATAGAGAGAAAGAGGTATGCCATATAACTATTAAATAAGTGTATATATTTATTTTAAGAATTTATTTTAAACGTGCCTATTCGCTCCGTGCGCGACAGCAGCGCCAATTCACTTTTGTACTAATGGACTATTTTTGCCTATACGAACAATACAATTTTTAATAGAATTCTTAATTAAAAAGTATATATGTTAGTTTTAATGAAAGTATATGGGTTTGTAAAACAAGTAAAACATTAATTTATTATTATTATATATGTTTGTCGCTTAAACTAAAAAAAAATAGGTATATTTAATAAAAATTAATAATAAAATAAAGGCAGGCAACAGTATTTACGGGAAAATGTATGAAAAGTTGCCTAAGTCTAATAAGTTGTCTTTGAAGTATTAATCTATTCTGTCAAAATAAAAAAATATCTTTAAATAATTAGCTTATATTTTCCACAAAGTGAGAAAGTTAAATTTCGCGCGGGTTGCTAACTGCCGGCAGGTGTTTGCTGCCAACGGAATCTTCTCGGAAATTTGAAATACTTTAAACTGCATTCCTGCATTTGCCAGGGTTGGATTTGATTTTAGTTTATTATTTATGTAATTGAAATATGATGTTTATTTTATGCGATATTTATAAATTATACAGTATTATGATACATTGTTTATATAGGGAGGACCATAAAGCGAGTAATTGAAGTATCTTCTCAAAAATGCTTGTCATTTTTGAAAAAAAATAATAATACCATTTAAAGAAGCCGAATATATTGATACTGACCTGTAACTCTAGAGCTGGATCGTGTACTGCTTGAGCTATTCTATGGGCGTGTTGAAAACTGTCTAGGGCTTTATTAAAACCTGCCAATTCTAGATAAACAGAACCGACGGTTAGATGAACGTGACCTGCAGTGGCGTGCTGTTCGCATTCATTGTACAGGGAATGTCTAGCGTACGCCAATGCTCTAAAACAAATATTAAGTTATGTACTACTATTTTATGTTCTTAATTAGATTTACATTTAAATTTCAAGTAGTGTTTGGTTTGTACTAAAAGTAATTTATATTAAATAAAAAAATTACCTTTCTAATCCCCCCAAACGTTGATGAGCTCTGGCTAAATTCAAATAAGATTCCGCTCTCATATTTGGACTATCTAACTCTTCGGATATGAACAGCTGTCTATGTGCATACTCTAAAGCATCCCTGGAAATAAAACCATAATTTTTATTGTTCAAGAACCGGTCATATAAAATCAAAGCGAGGATTATTATATGCCAAATTAAAAAAAAAATGTTCAGGTATTAGTTGTTCCAGCAGAATAAGATTGGTTTGCCTTGGTTTCACGCAGCCTTCAAAATAGTAGTTGAAAACATGCAGCTGAACAACACCTTGGCGATTATCTGTTGTTACCTCCTAACATTATAAGCTTTGGCTGAATTGTTTTTTTTTTGTATCGCGATTCCAGATTACTGATCCCATAAGATGAAATACCTTAAAAGTAGCTTTTTTAGTCTAACTCTAGGTTTGTTTGGGTTTCTTTAAAACTTGGTGCAAACCGTCCGAAAACCAGTAAAACAGTTTAAAATTTTTCGTCGCGTACAACTATTAAACTGTCCACTGATCAACTAGTCCTCTGACAGTTCTCAATGTATTTTTGAAGAACCCGAACAGACCTTCTATCAGTGAATTTGTCACTCGAGGGGGACATCAATTACAATACCATATTATTACATTATTACATTTACTATTGTAAAATCTACAGTCAGCTGAATCTAGGTGACTTTGTACCCTACACGTGACCTCGCTTGAAAGTCGTGAAGGCTATCTGCTTTGTCTACTTTATCATTTCCAAACTAGCAAATGTACACAAATCTTATTATGCAGGTTGAGAAATAACGGGCTAAGAGTTTATGTCGATCATGCATATTTCTTTAAGTACGGCACTGTGGCCTAAAACAAAATGGACTGTATCATATGTGATGAATTACCTGTGTACTCTGTAGGCTGATTTCGATTACTATTATTATCCCTATTGTATAAAATTGCTGGTTTGCACTTGAAGGGTTTGAGTAAAAATTCACTTATTATTTTTAACCGTATTTTAATTTTAAATATTTTAAGTTCAACAACTTAACATCACAAATAAGTATCTTAAATACTTGGAACAATTATTATAAACTGTGTGGCTTAATTTGCCCAGAAATTATTGTCTTCATTTTAATTTAAATTAAATCGGTGAGTGAAAGAACAGTAGAAGTGCCAAAAACGGTAATTTTAACTGAGATAGGCAAATTGTTTAAAATTCATAGGCCTATCACACAGCGAAAGAATAATACACAGACCAACATCATACGAGCGATGGGGACTTGTTCAATTATCGGTTGAGTGAAAGAACAGTACAAGTACAGCGCATGTACTGTTTTTTCACTCCGTAGCCATGTCGTTTCGTAGACAAATTTAACACAGATTTCAAAAACTGGTGGTCGCACTTTCATAAAAAACCTCTAAATCAGCTGATGAACAAAAAGCTAATTTTGTCATTCCACAGTACAGCCAGTTTACATACACTGGTAAAACTTCTGGATATATTACTACAAGTGCCTTCATAGGCGGTTTTCTCTCGCACACTTTTATGTGTGGGGCGCATTAGACTGATATCAAACCTAATGCCAATCTGCAGTTACCCTTATGGCAGGCATACACGCTACGGTCTGTCTGTGCAGGTGTGCCTGCACATGTAGACATGCACGCTACGACATAAAGCCGACCTGCGCAGGCATACCTGCACAGGTAGGCTTCTCCGGTAGACCGTTACGTGTATGCTCGCCATTAGAAAAGGCATACTCAGAAGTTGTCCCTATTAACGTAAAGAAGATAGCCAATATAACTTTTATTCTACTTTAGTGATGAAATCCTAGAGTTTTACTACCATATATTATTTCTTGGAAAGTCAAAAATGAAGATTCTGATTAAAAAATTACAAATAAGTTTGTTAAATAATAATAAATAAAGCTAAAAAAAAATTAAAGCATTTTTTTTTAAATTGAGTGAAAGAACAGTATAACTGCAAGTCATTTTTTTCAAATATCATATTTTGCATAATTTTATTTTTAAATTTATGTACATATTATTATCGGTTAACAAAAATTCTATAACTTCACAATACATAATTAGGCCGAATAACCGATAGTTCTCCTTTAAAATAGTGTTTTTTTTGTTTTTCTCAAAATGGTCATTTTGACTATGTATTGTTCTTTCACTCACCGATTCAATTAGAAAAAGCCTTATTAGTAGATCGTTGTCTGAGAAGAAAATTTCTATAAGCGGTTAGCGAACTGGCTTGGCTGCGAGGAATTTGGTTGGTATTCCGAGAAATATGAGAGCGTTCTATCAGTGGCAAACCGACTGAATTGATAGATGTGTTTGATGAGAAATGCAAGAGCACTTTGACGAGCTTCGCTTGGCTTTATTTTGCTTTTTTAAAACAGTAAGAATATACTCGAACGTTTGACCATGTGACCTTTAAAAGGTGGGACAATATTACGTCATAACTGTATAAACACAACCTGTTTGTAGCTTCTGCATGCGAGAGAGATTCATATATCGCGATCCTTTAAAGTTAGTTCAGATCAGGGTTGGCCTTAGATATTATCGAAATATGTTGGATGTATTTCCAACACAAGTGATAGTAGCATATGCGTTTGTCTCTGTTTACATTTTTAATTATTTAGTGTGTTTGAGTTTGGAATATTTCTTGTGTATTGCCATTTGTGGTATGTTCATAGGTTACTTTTTACCTGCTTTATTAATGCAAGCTTTTTTAAATATCCATAAAAAATTTTATTATAAATTTATGTCTCTATACCAAGACAAAATTACTTTAGTAGAAAATGATAACAATAGGCTCATTGACAGAAGAATTATTTTCATGATTATTTCTGGAATTTACGTTGCTAGTAAATACCATTTTATATAGAAAATGTCAGGAGATAGAAGAAAGGGTCTTACTGACAAAGAATTATTAAAGTTTTTGGAAAATTATGATTTGTGTCGGATATCGATATTTTGTCTGATGATAGAAAATTAGCAAATCTTGAAAGTGATGATTTTGTAAACTGTATGGATGTGGATAGAGAGTGATCGTAATGCTGACAGTGACAAAGAAAGTAACGAGAGACAAATTGAAACTGATAAAGATGTAGCAAAAGAATGGTGCTAAAACAGTGATAAAAGTCACATTGAAGCTTCCTAAAAGTTATAAACTTCTATTTTACTTGTAGTTTTTTACTACAACCAATAAATATATTTTATTGTCAACCGTACATAAAGCCATGCAATACCATAGAGATTTCCGGAGGCAAACAAACACTTTAGCTGAATGTAAAAATCAAATATTATATCTGCCGCTAATATTTATCAACATAGCCAAGACCGTCTGACAGAAATAGTCTGTAACTGATTTGTTTTGTATTCGCTGCTATTTACCTGTTTGTTTACTTTGTCATAATAAAATGTGATGTTATATCTCCTTTGTTATTAATTATAATTATTTACGGTTGGCGATAAAAGTTTGTATGAACCACGTCAGCAAAGTATCTTCATCTAACTCGCTTATTACTCGCCTTGCTCGCTCATCTTGCTCGGCTCAAAATCTCAGTCTAATTCGATAAAGAATCACTTTGCTGTCTTGGTACACAAATAACTATTTCCAACTAGCAAATAAAGGTCATAAAATGAAATGAATAAATTTTTTCTTTTGCCAAATTTTATTAATTTGATGCTTAGTATACACTTTCAAAATGGTATTTTGTTTTTTCTGTTTTACTTAAAGGGTTATAAGAAATAAAAATGGCTATATATAAATATAATTACCCATATTTTTTTTCAATTCCGCATTCCAATGTTGGTCTGGTATTTAAAATCCTTAATCAGGTATTGGGAACTATATTTCCGCTTAAAATACGAGACATATAATCCCCACATAAGATTATTAGTGTTAACGAATAACAACTTAGCTTTTTCTTTTTTAATTCAGCTTATAATAATCGCCCTTACATTTTATTTTCCAAATGCATAAAAAAACGTTTTTGCTATTAATTGTTTCTTTCAAGTGAAAGTAAAGCATGCCATAAACCTAATTAATGATCTGATAGTGGTCTAGAATGGTTATAACTAGTAATTTAGTAACCAGGAAACAGTCCTCAATACTCTCTCAGGAGTACAGAGGCTGGCATGCCTTTGTGTTACAGGAACCGATAGGGGAGGCCATAATAAGTGCAGACAGGCTGGACATCTTCAACAACTGGAACCCACTGGGAAATATAAAAAATACCAGAATAACACAGTAGGTAAATGATCATATATTAAACATGGGATCAGATCACATGACTCTTCCAGGTCAACTGCAACTGGAACAAGGTGAATAAAGAGGTAGAGATCTCGTATGGTATACGGATGGATCTAAAACTAACAAGGGAACAGGCTCTGGCGTACATAGAGTTAAACCCAAATGCGCCATCACCGTCTCACTGGGAAAACATACTACTGTATTTCAGGATTAAATACATGCAATCGAATTCTGTGTACGGGAGAATTTAGGAAGGAAGTACAAAAAACAAACCATTTTAATTCTCTGAGATAGCCAAACAGCCTTAAAGGTCCTGGTTCAAACAAAATCAAGTCAAAGCTGGTCTGGAACTGCTTTGGAATACTAAATGATCTGGCAAGCCACAATAAGTTAAAACTAGCGTGGATACCAGGAAATACAGTTATCCAAGAATATAAATAGACTGATGAACTAGCCAAAGAACTGTCAAAGAACTACCATTCACATGACCCAAACCTGTATATGGGTTAAGCAAAATATCTGCTCGACAGGAATTAAAGAGCTGGATAATCATAAAACACCAACACATTCTCTGGAAACAGATAAAACGACACAGAATCAGTAAGCTCATGCTAAGGGGACCAAACATACGCATGGCTGCTGAGCTACTATAGCTCGCAAGGTCTCAGATATTAATCTTTTTGGAATTACTAACGGCACACTACTTGCTGAAACATCTTCATGTGATTGGATTACACAATGATTCCATCACGTGTAGACTCTGCTCGGAAGAGGGAGAAACCACGCACCATGTTCTCTTCGAATGCAAAGTTCTTGCTAGTCGACGACTTAGCCTTTTCAGTCTGGAACCGGAAATAACGTCCCAGGAATACTTGGTAGGGAACTTGGTAAAACTAACCAAAGACACAGGACTATTTCAAAGAGAGTACCTGAATGCGGGGAAAGCAGGGGAATACAATAGTCCAGAATGACTATAATTAGTAATTTATGAAAACAAAACCTTTTGACCTAAGAGATCATGTGGTAAATGATATAGAATCTAGTTTTATTTCCATTATTATTTAATATATTTGTATATACCTGTATTTTCCCCAATCCATATAAGCCTGGTATAGGTAACCAAGCAGACTAAATTTATCCTCCCTTTTTTGTATGGCTTTAAGAGCCGATTTCCATTTTCTAACTGCCTGCTGCTGTTTATGTTGGTTGTACAATCGGAGTCCTTGGTCTACCTGAAAAAGGAGTATCTTTAAATAAATAATTTCTCGTAAAAACAGCAGTTTCAATTCACTAGTTATTGGTATTTTATACCTATAAACGGGTTGTTCAACATTTAATCTAAAAATAAATCACGACCTTCAATGTAAATTTTTATGCTGTCTGATTCTATTCCTCGCACAAAAAAGAGAAAAACTTTGAGGACTGTCAGTCGGCGTCTCGCAAAACAGGCAAATAAAGTTTTTTTTATGGGTTTACAAGAAGTTCGAACATCAAATTTTTATGAGTTTCTTTTATTTTCGAGATAAAGCTCACAATAAAAATCGGAAATACGACTATGGATATTGTCTTGGCTATAAACCATTGGAATATTGATAAAGAGTGGATTATTGTGGCTAAAGCTTTTTTTTTGTTCAGTGTTGAGAATTTGAGTAATAAATCAACATAAGGGAATCCCATATATTTTATTTTCAAATTGAAAATTTGTTGAAACCATAAATCAGGAATAAAATTCAACAACTAGGAGATTGGGAAAAATGAAAGGGCGCATACAGGGTGATACTGTATGATGTCTAATAATAAATGGCATGCAATTGATAGTATTAAATTATGAAATTTAAAAATAGGTCCATTATCCCTTCTTTCGATCATTACTTAGTGCCTTAATTAATGTGATTTGTTTTTATAAAGTTTTCATACAATTTATCTACGTAAGTTGGCTACATAACATGGATTATTAGTTTTATCAAAAAAATTTATTCTTTTATAAAAAGTTATGCATAATCTAAAAGCTAAAACTCAACCATCAGATATTACATACGAGATGCGTCAAAAATATAAATTTTGCTCAAGAGTAAAGTACCTTTATTTTTTGGACAATCCTCGTACACGACTGATAAAATTTGGTATCAGATGATTGAATTTTAGGTTTTAAGTAATGAAGACATTTTTATGAAGAATTACTTTTATTATTAATTTTAGGAAAAAAATGTATTCATAAAATATTGTGCATGGTCCAACTAAAACCTAAAATACAACTGTCAGATATCAAATTGTATGAATCGTATACGAGGTTTGTCAAAAATGAATGTCCTAAAGTTCTCTTAACCAACAATAAATTATTTGTCAAACCTCGTATACGACCCATACATTTTGATATCTGATGGTTGTATTTTAGGTTTTAGACCATGCACATTTTTTTATGAATAATAAATTTTTTAATAAAACTAATAATAAAAAGTGTTCCATATGTTGCCAACTTACATATATGTATATCAAAAAAGGTCATACTGAAATTACCCATAATTAACAGTTTTTATTATTTATTTTTCTCGTAAGGTCTGTCGGGGTTTCTGGACCCACGGGGTAACTGGGCCATGGAATATTTCCCGCCACATCGTTCAAATTCTTTTATTTTACACAGTCGGCTAGGGTTAAGTAGAGCACTACCAATATAGAACAACACTCATAACCTAAAAATCAGTTAAATTTGGAATTTCATGGTGGCAACAAATTTTGCTAATAAAAATCTAGTAACATCGTGCTGTAACTAGTGTTATTTTCAAGGATATCTACCTACAGGTAAGCAATGAAAGATATATATTATTTTTGGGGTAATATTTTCACTTTATTTCAAGAAATTACGTTCGTAAATAATTAATTACTTACAAGGATAAAAATGTGGAAGGGGTGGCCCAGTTACCCCATAAAAAGTTTGCAAACGGGGTATCTGGGTCATACGCTTGGGGTATTTGGGCCACTATGGTCCAGTCACCCCGCTTGCATGTTCTAAATTTAACATTAATATTTCGCAGACATGGTGCGGAAATATGTGAGAAAGACGCAGAAGGGTGCCGGTACTACATATAATAATAATAATAATAATAATAATAATAATAATAATAATAATAATAATAATAATAATAATAATAATAATAATAATAATAATAATAATAATAATAATAATAATAATAATAATAATAATAATAATAATAATAATAATAATAATAATAATAATAATAATAATAATAATAATAATAATACTCTCCCTAATTCACCCCCTTACGAGTGAATTTTAACCCCAAAAGCTGAGCTTGTCCGGGGAAAGGGACGGCTATTATTATTATTATTTGCCGTGGCGCTCCGGGGCGACTTAAAGATGATTGATGGTGCCATTTGACTTACAGGTGAGGAAAACCCGGAAAACCTCACCCACCATCATCGAGACGGTAATGTATGGCGAATTTTTTTAATCTGCATGTCATATCAACAGAAATTGAATTTCTATTAATACGCCACACATCAAATCCTAAACCGAACCATGCAATTTAATTAAAAATCCACATGGTCTGGTCTGGGATTCGAAACCCAGCGGTCTCAGACTCATAAACTTGCCTATAAATGAATATAAGCGCGATAGACCGCTACACCACCGTGCCCGATGAAGACTTAGAAAAAGCTTTATCTGATGTTCGGAATGGCAACAAAACGACTCGTGGAGCAGCTACTCTTTATAACATACCACGATCAATATTAAAACATTATGTATTAGGGACTCGGGGTAAAGGTAATACTTCTACGGGTGACAAAGAGGGAGGAGGAGTATCTTCATATCTTTCAAAAGACGAAGAAGAAGATATAGCAAATTGTTTGAAAGTATTAGAAAAAAAAGGGTTCGGGATCTGTCGCGAGGAAGTTATTGATATGGTTGAACTGTACATAAACAAAACAATATATCAACGATATTTAAGGACAGTCGTCCCGGTCCTGACTGGTTTACGTCTTTCCGACGTCGTCATGCACTTTCCATCAAGAAACCTCAAAGTATAGAGCACGTCAGATGTGATCAGGTTTGTTATGTATATTTAATACTGCCAAAAACTGATAAATCTATTTTAATTCTTGTTTTCAGGTTAATCCCTGGGTGATATATGATTATTTTAAGCAACTAACAGATCAAGTGAAGAAGCTTAAATTAAATGGAAAACCTTCACAAATATTTAATTGTGATGAAACATCGTTTTGCCACGATCCCTCTAAAACAAAGATCGTTGGGGCAATTGGGGTAAAGAGTCAACGAAAAACAAGTTCTTCAGGCAGATAAAATACCACAGCTTTACTGTGTTGTTCAGCCGATGGAAACAAATTACCTATCTTATGTGTATTTAAAGGTAAATATGTGATGGAGAATTGGTTTAAAAATGATGTGTCGCAAACGGCAATATCTGCTAGCGAACGGGGCTGGAAGGAAACCACTGTTTTTTATAATTGGTTTAAAAATGTTTTTTTAAAACATATTGGCCCTGAAAGACCGGTCCTTTTAATTTACGATGGTCATGTTACACACGTGTCCATAAAATTAATTAAACTAGCACAAGAAAATGAGGTAACCATTATGAAATTGCCTCCTCATACCACACATGTACTCCAACCGCTTGATGTCCCAGTATTCAAAAGCCTTAAATCTAGATGGGACAAGGAACTATGTAAGTGGCAACGCCAGAATCCTAGAAAAAAAAATCCCCAAAGCAGAATTTGTAGCAATACTTACTAAAGCTACACAAGAGATGCCGGCTCAAAACATTGTTAATGGCTTTGCCACCACCGGTATATATGACCCAAATCTTAAAGGACCGAACAAAAATGCAATTTCGCCGAGTGTTTTTAAACCAGAAGACCTAAGACGTTATAAAAATAATCTTCCTCATCCCAATGCTTCAATAGATGTTAATCACACTAGTGTAACAGATTCATTAAAAGAAATCGCCATATCCAAAAAACTGAAAAAATTAAGAAAGATTATCTCATCTTGTACATATTTTTTGAAAAAGAAACAATACGGAATTACTGAGCGGACGCGTTTCCTGTAATTTTTGATTTTAATCCACCGAAATCATGAGACATTGTAAAACCATGGCCCAGTAACCCCGACAGACCTTATCTTTTTTTTGTATTATTAATTTTTATATATTTTTAATTGTGTTTACCACTGTTATGTACTAACCTTTCTTTTGGCGAAACTATGATGTATCCTTGCCCGGCACGCCTGGAAGCAGCCCCATGTGAATCTGGGTGGACGCGGGGTTCGAACCTCAGTGTAGGTGTCTCGGTGAAGGCTGGAGTAAGAATTGGTCCAAGGCCAGACCTGTTCGAGGCCGTCGAGGGGGTGTCGTGAGCCATCGGGGGAGGACAGGAGGCGGGTGGCTGAAAGTTGGTGGCCTACGTTCAAGTTGCTGTAAAAAAAATCGATTGTGAACTATCCATTTTAAAAAATCGTCTGTAAAAAGAATAAATTGTAAATAGTAGTTTGTGCAACAAGAGTAGATATGACAGCCATATCGCACGATGACAAAGTTAGAGCACGACTCCATAGGGTTATTAAGATAAAATAACTAATGCAAATGCCGTGTGGTTTGTTCTGGAAATTATAATAATGTTACGCAGCACCCTGCAGCGTGCTGCGGTCGTCTTAAGTAAAGGTTCGAGTAAAAGAAGAAGGGGGAATATTCGAGAAATGTCATTCCACGTCAAGAAGAATCTGGACCTTAGAACAGACCTTAGACTAGGTTACTACCTAGTCTAAGGAACAGACTATATATATTCTAAGATCTGGACAGTTCGATAATGTTCGAGAATGTTAAATCAGACTATATAACTATATATGTATAGTGATTCTGACGTCAGTTTACAATTTTATGATAGACGTTATATGTTATTGTTCAAGTTGAGTTGAAATAAATTGAGATACCAAAAACCTGCGTAACAATATACAGACACGGAAAGTTAAACGCGAACCATCTGCTTTACAATGAATTAGACAAGGTATAATATGACCACGCGTGAATCGAACAAAGACAGCAGAGCAGCGCATTACCTATAATTTGTAACCTTACGACTTCTTATTCACTCCCACTGATTTGGGTTATATGGTCCGCGTTTCAGTTTTAGAATCTGTATAAAGTTAAACATTCCGGAACAAATAATAACTCGCACACCATCAACTTAAAAGTAATCAAATATTTAAAAAGAATTTATTTACTCTCGTTATCAAGCACCAAAACATTTATTTTCGATAAAAAGAAAAATCTGCTTTGGAAGTCTTAAGTTTCCCGAGAATAAAATTTTAATGTTCGGGGTAGAGTATAAGAAGCAGCGTTATGAAACTTTTGTGAAATTTCATTTTGATTAAGTTTGAAGATAAAAATTATTATCAAAGAGAAGTTTTAAATCTCTCCAGATGATGTTTCTGAGTTGAATTCTTCGCTTGTAATTTGATTTTTACACTCGAAGCAGCGGCGGCTCGTTGATTTTGGTTTTGGGTGGGCCGAAGTAGAAGAAAATGAATTCACTTCTTTTTTAGGGTACTAGTACCAGGGTATTTTATAAAGGTTGACCACAGGCTATATTTCGGAAACTACTGGGCATAGACATTTAGGAAAAACAATTTATGATTAAAGGGGCCATTACAAAATACTGAAAATTATTTGCGCAAAGTAGTAGTTTTCCTAATGCAAACTACTCAAAAATTTTAATAGTAGGGACAATTTATATTTATTTTAGTAGCTATAGACTATTTTATGCAAAGTGAAAAGACGTAGCAAAATAAATGTATTTTTTTTACCTTTTAATCGTTATTCCCGATATTTGTATTTCAGCTTATTTCAACAGTACAACATTTTGTTGATTAATAGAAAGTGCCTAATTTAATTTATAGAACTTTTTATTGATTGTCAGTTTTGTGAGGTAAGCTGTCATTTAATCAATTTAGATAACAAAGAATGTTATTTAGAAAAATGCGATAAAGGTCGATATCTAAATCCATAATTAATTAATATTATTATATATAGCATTATATTATAACACCTACTTTAAAATGTTGCTGGGTATTATAATGATTACCGATAGCTATGTTTTATAATAATGCAAAATCTAGTTTCTAAGATGACTCCCAATTTATTTATTTCGAGAACAATACATGAACCATTTGTTTAATATGAAACGCGAGTCTATTGTCTTTATAGGTGGAGCAAGCCCACTCAGTGAAGAGTATTTAGAGGTAAGCTCGGCAGTAAAGAATTGTATTGTACGTTTGGTAGTTAATATGGATCGATTATAAACCGTTAATCCGGACATCTTTAACAATAAATAAAAGTTTAAAACTAGGTAATATGTAGAGATGCTGAAAAGGAAAAAAATAAAGCAAACAAACAATCTTTGCTTGTGAAAATTATTAAATACACTACTCAAATACGACTAGAGACCTCAATTCCAGTCGGCCGGTGGACTGAACGAGTGGGCGGAGCATCATATCGATGAACTGCCGTTGGTAGATCCTTTATCGGATGGTTGGCCAATCAAATCAGTCTACGAGTAGTGTATACACTCTACCATAAAAAAATAAATAACGCATGTCTTAAAAAACCTGTTTTCTATTAGCTGTTTCAGGAAAAACCGACTTAATTAAATTCGGACACATTTACACTTGACACGTACCGCTTTTTGCATGAAATTCTAAATAATCAAATAATATCAATCTGGCAAGGAGTCGACTCTTACTCGCAGCTGCAACATACTGGTAGGACATTAACCCTTTTCCTCCTAGGAAGTTCAAGGAGGATAGTAAAGAAGACTACCAAAAATATGTTATTGTAAATGTACTAATTAAAAATAAAATATAACTATTTTAAAAGTAAGAAAGGGGTCGAGAGATGTATAAGGGTAGTGAATAGTTGTTTTTTTGGGGAAGAGGGGCTCGTCTACTCTTTTACCTCTGAGGAGCCAATAATAACTTAAAATTTACACAGCCAAATAGGAATATTAATGACTAATAACAGTAGATAAATTATTTTTGTATATCAAATTTTAATTTTATATTTTTTTTTATGCAAAACTATGACGGTAGTTTTATCTAGGAATAAATGATTTTAACGAAAGGTTTAAACAAAATTGGTATTGTTAACGAGCATTTATAAATAATAATCAGTAGGTATCAGTAAATGTTAAACGTCTTATATGATGGAACTGGCGTGTTTAATATTGGTTACTTGTGTTGCTTTCGTGCATCAAACAAAATGTAAGTTTAAAAGTAAAAAGACTTTTATATACTTCAACTGATCCTAGTAATTTTCTATAAATCTATTTTAATTTTCTTAAGTCAAAGTTTATTTATTCTATAAGAATCAGAAGTTAATTTTTTCGTCTATGTTTCATACCTTATTTTTTATTCGAATGTGCTTAAATATTAAAAAAAATATATATAAAATTAATCCTGAAATTTAAGAGTCCTAGGAACGATCTACGTATGTGTATGACGTTTTTTGTTAGCACGATATACAGCTCAAATAGTCCAGGGCATTTAGCACTAAATCACCCGAATAGCGGAAATTTTGACATACCACAGATATCGAGATGCGGTTTTCTGCATTGTGTTGGAGAAGGTCCCAGAAAAGACTGGTGAAAATGTGGGTATGCAGTTTTTTGAAAAACGCCTTCTGGGCCGGAAAATGCATTTTCCAATTGCATCATTATTTGTGCCGTTATGGGAGCGATTGTAAACGCGGAAAAATCGCTCGGAAATTGTTACTCGGGGGTTTTCGGGGCTGCCGAACTCGATTCTGGCATTAGAATTACCCGCGAATGCACGGGGGCGGATCTGTGGGGGTGCGCGGGGGGTGAATTGGGGGAGGAATGGCAGCGTGCATGAGAATCGCTCCAAATTCGGTACTTGGGGGTTTTTGGGGATGCTGAATTCAATTCTGGCATTGGAATTACCCGGGGCGCTCAGGAGCGCCTCTGCAGGGGTGTCCGGGGGTTCATTCCGGGGGGAAAATCGCATAGTCCATGTAAATGGCTCCAAAATCGTTACTCGGGGGTTTTCGGGGATGCTGAATTCAATTCTGGCATTGGAATTACCCGGGGGCGCTCAGGGGCACCTCTGCAGGGGTGTCCGGGGCTCTCTTGCATGCAAGCATTGCGATGGCAATTGCTCAAACCAAAAAGACGTTGCCAATGAGGCCGAGAGTAGTGACGAGGAAGAAGATGAAGGAGGGGAAGAAAATGACGAAGGGGAAGAAGGAGAAGAACGGGAAGAAGAAGAAGAGTTTGAACAAGATGTTTAGGTCTTAAGTTGAAAATTTGAGTTTATAATGAATAATTCAAGACTAATAAAAACTTCTATTTGTTATTTGAATAAAGAGTTACGTTGATAATTTGTAATTTTCCACTTGCTGCTTTACCATTTCCTAGCCACTCCTGAGCGCCCCGGATATTCCAATGCCAGAATTGAATTCAGCATCCCCGAAAACCCCCGAAAAACGATTTCGGAGCCATTTACATGGACTATGCAATCCCATCCCCCCAGAATGAACCCCCGGACCCCCTGCAGAGGCGCCCCTGAGCGCTCCCGAGTAATTCCAGTGCCAGAATTGAATTCAGAATCCCCGAAAACCCCCGAGTCACGAGTTTGGAGCGATTTTCATGCACGCTGCGATTCCTGTCCCAATTCATCCCCCGCGCACCCCCACAGAGCCACCCCTGAGCGCCCCGGATATTCCGATGCCAGAATTGAATTCAGCATCCCCGAAAACCCCCGAGTAACAATTTTGGACCCATTTACATGGACTATGCGATTTCCCCCCAGAATGAACACCCGGACACCCCTGCAGAGGCGCCCCTGAGCACCCCCGGGTAATTCCAATGCCAGAATTCAATTTAGCATCCCCGAAAACCCCCGAGTAACGATTTTGGACCCATTTTCATGGACTATGCGATTTCCCCCCAGAATGAACCCCCGGACACCCCTGCAGAGGCGCCCCTAAGCGCCCCCAGGTAATTCCAATGCCAGAATTGAATTCAGCATCCCCAAAAACCCCCGAGTAACGAGTTTGGAGCGATTCTCATGCACGCTGCCATTCCTCCCCCAATTCACCCCCCGCGCACGCCCACAGATTTGCCCCCGTGCATTCGCGGTTAATTCTAATGCCAGAATCGAGTTCGGCAGCCCCGAACACCCCCGAGTAACAATTTCCGAGCGATTTTTCCGCGTTTACAATCGCTCCCATAACGGCACAAATAATGATGCAATTGGAAAATGCATTTTCCGGTCCAGAAGGCGTTTTTCAAAAAACTGCATACCCACATTTTCACCAGTCTTTTCTGGGACCTTCCCCAACACAATGCAGAAAACCGCATCTCGATATCTGTGGTTTGTCAAAATTTCCGCTATTTTTGCTAA